AAAACACAAGTTGCAGCTCACGTCGCAACCCTGTGAGTTTCAGATTCTCTCATTTTCATTCTCTCATTCTCTCTTTTCATTTCCTTTGCTGCTTGTAAAAGGGGACTGTGCTGTATGTCTACAAGCGTGCTGGCACTAGACTTTTCCTGTCTTTGTGGAAGCTCGTGTTTGTATTGATAAAATGCCCTTTTCTGTCCCTCTTGCCACCTCTTCCCTCTGTCCCCCATTATGCACTTTTTTTTTTTCTTTTCCAGCCACACTGCTTCTGTTTGGTTTGGTTTTGTTTGTTGTGGTTTTTTTTAACTTCTTGTCTCTCTCTTCAGTTCAAACAATTTCATTCTCTTTCATCTGCTCTTTTTCCATGCTTGCTAAGTATCAAGAAACGTGGAAGAGAGCACAGCAGTCTTGGTGCACCCGTTGGCGCGTGTGGTTCTGTAGTCATCCCAGCAGCCAAAAGTAAAATGCTTAGATAAGTAATAATAAGCTTATATTGCAGAGTGAGCTCCAATTCAGTAACCAATTTACCCAAGTTTTGTTTAAAATATGGTTAAAATACAAACAGCATATTTGCACCATCTGCTACTGAGAATTCTACTGAACCATTGTAACAGAAACTTTTCTAACAAACGAGTAAAAAGTCTTCTAAATATGGCCTTTTTGAGGTCTTCCTTCAAAAAAAGTTAAGGTTAATGCATATTTGTTGCTTTTACTAGGTTCACCGCTTTTCCAGCAACTTCTGTAGTGATTTGGATGGTGTGATGACAATTCAAGCAAAACCGCTCCAACAGAGGCATGTTGCCACATTAGAAAAAATACAGTACGTGTTGGTATCGATGTTTTGAAAATGTGGCATAATTCATATTATATAATAAGATGTTTTGCAATTATAAAAAGACAATAAGAAGGCAGTCATCTCTGTGTGTATCACTGATGCGACAATAATTTGTAGAGGTTGCAGTGATACTTTGTTAAGAAATCCTTTTACTTTTTTTTTCTTCATCCTCATTCCCTCTTTTGTTCCTCTTCCTTTTTTCCTAGGAATGAGCAAGAAGACAAACAGCATAGCATTGGCTCCAGTGCTCCAAATTCAGTGCAAACTAGGCTGGGGAGGATTGCTGATAACAGCATTCTCTCATCGTCTCGGGTACTGCTGACATCTGCTAGGAAGCTATCAAGCCATCGTAGGTTACCTTCTATCACTTCTGACCAACTCTCCTCAAAAGCTCCTAATATGTACAATGATGAAATCCTTAGGGGGACTAAATTGTGAGTTTTTTCATTTTTTTCTTTGCTTTCCTCAGAACTTTACTGCAATTTCACCAGTGAAGAATTTTGCAAAATACTTGAGAACTAACCTGAGATTTATTATTGATTTTAGAATTCAGAGAGAAAGAAAGCAAGCAGAACCATATTTTTTGAGGAGAGGGATCTGTTTTTTTTTTTTTTTGCTGTATTGGGTGCTGTTACTTTGTGTAGTTAGCTCTATAAAGAAATGTACTGCTTAATAATTTCACATTGTTTCAGTGAAGAAGTCTTTAATATGAATTTTCGTAAAAGAGGAACCCTTAAAATTCTGTAGGGTTGCCAGCTCAGATTGTTTATCTTCTGCTCGTGCACCTACAACCCGGAACAAGTTACCACCAATAAACTCGGAGGCTGTTGAACAATGTCTTTCAGTACCTCGATTGCAACAGAGCTCTGTAAGTTGTTTATTTTTGTACTGTTGAAAAACTTCAAGCTATTTAGAAAGAAATTGCTCTGTGTCACTGGTTGAAATGAGTAATTTCACAGTCTGTGTTGGTTCGTATTTAATACATGGTTTTAACACGCTAATGTGTGTTACACTGGGGTACCATTAGAATGCAAGAGGAGCCAGTTTTAGCTTCAGGTCACAAACAGATCACGGTGGAAAGGCTTTCCTCTGAAAACAGAAAAATCCGCTTTTTTAGAAAAAAAAAAAAAAAAAGTAACCAACCTGCTAACCAGATAGTGACCTTGTACTTACATGCTCCTGGGTTTAAATAGCTCTTTTCAGTGTTTTATTCACTAATGTGGGGTTATAAGAGGTAGAAAATTATGCTAACTGAAGTAGAAAAGAATATTGACTAAAAAAAAAAAATAGATCTTGTTGATACTTGCCTATTTTTGAAGGATAGAAAGTAATAATAAGTACCAGAATGTAAGTAAATTGACAGTTTGATATTATTTTGCTTCTGAATAATATTTTGAATTGACACATGTAAAGTCTATTATTATTACTATTTTAATTAATATAAACCTTTGTGGAAGTATAGACTAATATTAGGGAACAGTCTCAAATCTGTTTGAAAAACTTGAGAACCCTTAAATTACCTGAAATTGGTGCTTTTGGTTAGTGAAAACATATTTTTCTTTCCTTCTGTTATGTTTTTTTGTATGGCAACGGAAAAATCATTATTTCAACCAATTCAACCGCTGCATTCTCTCAATGCTTTTTCTAATTCTCTCAGCTTCGAGGACGATATGCTCACAGCAGAGTGTCAAGTGCAGTGCCTGGTAGTACGAAGCAGTGGACACTCAGAGAAAGAACTGTTATTACTGATCAGTTTTCAAGGCCCAACACAACTCATACACTCAGGGTACGTTACCATGTAAGTAGAGACATGGAAAAGTGAAGAAGCTTGCATTCGTGCCCACTCTTGGTCTACAGAAGTTCTCATTTACTGGGTCTCTCCTGAAGTCTGGTGTACTGGGGTTCCTGCTGCCAGTAGAGAGCAGGATGTTAAAAGGCTTTGAGAAGGTGTGGGACCTTGAAAAGCAGGACTATCATATGAGGAAGAGGTGGTTTTTTTTTTTCAAGTCTAATGCATCAAACAGTTCTTTTGAGGGTGTCTATGCACTAGAAGTGTGCAGTTTTAGTACTGCTTGGAGCTTTGCAGCTTGGTAAAACTCACTCTGCTGGACTATATCGTCAAATCTTTAATCAAACCATTTCAATAAATAAGCATACTATACTAGCTAATAGTATCTCTTCTCTTTTTACAGACAGACACACGAAAGAGATCACTGACTTCCATGGATTTTGCTAACCATAGAGGGACAGGTCAAGGTTTTTTAATAGGTAGGCAAAGTAAGAATAACTTGGAAGGCAAAAGGCCAACCAAAGCTATTAACCGATAGCACAGTCAAGAAGTAAAGTGCTCAGGGAGAGCCATCTCTGCATAAAAGAACAGGTGTGCTTGGCAGAATCTTTTGAGTTTGACTTTGAAGTTTTTTCTCACTTAGTCTGAGATAGCCCTAACTCTGGCTGTTAGGAACCCGGCAAAGCTTTTTTTTGTTTCATAGATTCATAGATTTCTAGGT